GAAGAAAATAGGAAGCATCACAGGAAGCATAATAAGCATACCTAGACATGATTTCTATATCATAATAACAATGCAAACAATTAAAGCACTTACTTGGATACCTCGTACCTCTTTCTAATAACAAAATACACACGTTAGTAACTTCAAGGAAAATAATAATCAAACAATTAAATTAAATAATTGAAATAGAGATTTGTGACCAAACCCTCAAAAATTAAAACCTTTCACGTCTAGGGCAAAGGCAACTTCGAACTTGGCTAGGTGTTTCTTGATCTTGTGAATGCGGTATTGTGTATGAGAAAAGCTAGTTTAGAAGAGAGAGAGAGAAAAATCAAGAATTTCTTGATGAGAGTTGGTGAGAAGAGAATTAGGGAGAATTCCTAAGTATTGATGATTGAAAACGGAGGTTTTAGAAAGCTATTTATAGAGAAAATCAATCAGGTATGACAAAAACCGAATCAGAGTTTCGAAAAGAATAAAACACGACTGTTGCGCCAAACACGTGCCTGTCGCCAGACGGTGCACGTGTCACCAGAAGCCAGGTCTGTCGCCAGGCGAAAAAGCTGTCGTATGGCGCTAGAAATAATTTTCCATGCGTTTTCTTATTCTGATTAAATTTAAATGTACGAGAGGGAAAAATTGTATTTTCTTTAAAACACTTCTTTTATTCTGTTTAAAACTCTTAAAAGTCAACTAAAGTCAATTTATAAATGCTAATTAAATTAGGATTCAAAAGAACCTTGTAGAAGATTCTAGAAGGCTATAATCAATCGTAATTGCATTAGGAATGATAAATATTAATAGGCCCTCCTCTAGATCATTGAGCCGCGTATAAAGATCAAACCAGGCTCAGTTTAGTAATTTGGCCATAACTTCCTCATTATTCATCAGAATTGGACTTATAATATATCGTTGGAAAGCTCTTTTTGAACCCGACCCAACTACACCATTATTGGACCCTTTCCATGGACCAAACAAAACTGGATTGGCTGCTTTCTTAAATAGGTTTTTAAAAACAGAGAGAAAGAAAAGAAAATAAAATAACCGCAACACTAGACCTTCCACACTTTCACTTCATTCGATTATGATTCGACGTGAAAGGTACTCAACACTGGGTTTGGTTTTGGGGAGACACAAATGGGTGTCTACAGGTACTCCAATTTTATTTTTTTTTCATACAAGTAACTTTGGTGAGCTTCTGCCTTCTGGTCACCTAATACGGCGAGTTTCTAGTCACCTAATACTGAACAACATATAAGCTATCGTGGTGATATTTTTGCCACCTATTACATATGCCATACAAAGTTCTCAGAACTGATATATAATCTCTTGAAATTTTCTTCAAAATAAACTATTAAAATTACAATTCAAATATAGTCCAATCTCATTGTTATGTCTTTCCATTTAATTTATTTCATATCTCTAACATGAGAGAGCGTCAGCTCATTATTTCTTTTATATTAAATGAAACTTCAGGTTTCCATAATGGGTAATTATTAAACTCAGATGACCTATTTCAATTATCACATCAAATCACATTTTCTTTGAATTTTAATGGTCAGTTAAATCGTCAACTTTCAATACTGGTGATCACCTTATTAGACATACTTCAAGAATGGCCATGAATAATGATGTGATGTATATAAACGCTGATATGTGTTTCTTTCTATAATTGGCAAGACAATCAACTAATACTTGATCTTATAGTAACTCATACTCTGCTGGAGTAATGATTTTTGCCTGTCACATGCTTGTTTTGTTGGACATCATTTTGTTCTCTTCTAGAGTACTTTATATGATCATAGCACACTTTAATGTACTAGAAATGAGATCTTCAAGAGATCCATAAAAATGTATCACTTTCTCGAAATTCTGTGTTATTTTCTCAAATGAATGTGTCATTGTCATCTGCTGCTCCCTTCCTCTTTTGAGGATTCTTATAATTATAACATATTAGGTTATCACGCTTCAGGTGTGATATATATATTTATTAGCAATTGATATTATCCTTCTAGGACATTAATAAATATCATCCTTTCAAATATCAAGTGAAGTGTTCACAATGTCATAATTATAAGAATGTCAAGTGAAGTGTTCACAAATACAACGTTGAATATTAATTGCAAACATGATAATGTGAAAAACTTGTGTGCAAGGATTTCATAATTTAATCAAATATATTATATCTTCCCTAATCATTGCATATGGAATATTAAATTAGTCCAACAACCTTTCAAATATCTTGCACCTTGTAAGTCTTAAATTAATATCAGGTAAAATGGCATAGTAATGTCATATATATTATTCTGACTTACTAGGATAATATCAATTACTAATAAATATCAGGATATTAGCAATTGCTACTAAATATCAGGATGACATTATCACTAATATGACATTGTACTTATTAGCAATTGATATTATGACTTACAAATATCAAGTGAAGTGTTCACAATGTCATAATTATAAGAATATCAAGTGATGACTTACAAGGATGATATTTATCAAGTGAAGTGTTCACAATGTCATGTTCAATTTCTTAAACTCATGAACAATATATCTTGGTCAAAAGATAATATGCACTCATGTTTGCTATTCTTATGTTTTTTTTTTCAATGAATTATATAATCAAAATTAAAGAATATCAAGCAAACATGCCTATAACTCTTTAAAGTATGCAAGTTCTCATTCACTTATGGGAATGATTATATCTAGTTATTTATCCATACTTAGTTATTAGAGTTTGATATTTTGAATATCCACCCAAAAACAATATATAAACTATACAAATTCTTTTTATTTTCACATGACATAGTTTATATAATATATTATTTATTTAAATGGTGGATTATCTATATTTAATTTCTAGGTTATATACATAACCTTAGCTTGTATTGTTGTCAAGGGTTTCCAACCCTTCATAAATTTACGGAGATTTAGGTCCTTAAGACGAAGAATTTCATGTTCAATTCATACATTATTCCAACTTCATGTACATACGCATATAATATATATTATATATAGTTGAATTCAAACATTATACATCAACATATTTATACTAAAACCATGATAGTTGCACAAATCATATGATTATGATCATGTTAAAGTCAATTATAATGCATGTACATGAACTATATTGATCTAGAACTTATTGTCTATATAATGAAAGGAGTATATATGCAATTAATGTATTAGTAGTACACGTACTACTTGTTGTCAAATTTCATGTTCAAACAAGTGCTAGCTACCATGAATGAGGTCAAACAGATCAATAAAAATATGACATCATGTATATATAAATAATCTCAATAATAAAAGTTAAAGAAATTTTACGAGCTTCAAAGAATTACAAATAGATCAATTTTCTTATAGATTAAGCCGCAAACTTTAATTAATAATCATAATATCAAATGAAATTTTGTATAAAATATCAGGGTTAATTAACTCCTTATTTACTTTATTTAATACTATGATGAGACATCACAATAATAAATATATTTTACAAGTTTTTCACATTATCATGTTTGCAATTAATATTCAACGTTGTATTTGTAAAACAAAAAAATAAAAATATTATTGAATTAATATTAGGGTTGATTAAAAACTTGTGGGCACTAAATAAACACTTATGTATATGAATGCATATGCTTGCATTCCATTTAGTGGGATCTCATATTGGGTATTAGATGATTTATATTAGGCATATTGATATCATGAGTTGTATAATGAGATATTATTGGATATACTAGATGCTCATTTCATTTTTCATTATTTTAATCAAATATGATAGAGTTTGTTACGAAGATCGACAACAAAATAGGAATATGTTGCAACAAAATTAGTACATATCTCAAAATTTAGTATTATTTTTGGTCTCTTGATCAAATACTAGATAGAACACAAAATATTTATGTACCTTAAATATTTCATACTTAAACAATTTGTTGCTAATAAAAGGAGTCATGGTTATATGATAGTGATATCATGATAAGCATATAACAAGGATGGAAATCTTGCCCCAAACTTTATATATTCATCCTTCATAATAATTAATATATAGTATGGATTCGATCGAACTAATCCACACACAATTACCTCATGATAAAATAAAATCTCAAAGATACATAAATATAATAACAAAACTCAACAAATTCAAAAGTTTTTTTTTTTGTAAAAAAAAAAATCTACTCTAAAATCTGTTAAGAATGTCAACATAATGCCCCAAACACTTTTTTAGAAAAAATCAAATAATAAATTAAATTTTTTAGTCTTCTCATGTACTCCATAACACCATCGTAACACGTACTCCAATGAAAAACATATATGCTTAACTTAGTCGCAATGCATCATAAATTTGCATAATATAAACAATCTATAGAACTACATATTATACTCTCTGAGCGTACATTAAATAACAAGTTAATAATGGAGTGCATAATTATTTATGTAATATTTTGACTTTATATTTAAGTTGACGAAGTAAACTTAAACGGACAAATAGATGATTCCAATACAAAACTCAAAGAATTGTAAGGAAAACAAATTAGTAAATTAGAATTACGAACTTTAATGAATTTAAGTATATATTGATGTACTTAGTTGTGTTGAATCAAATTAATGTAGAGTATATATGGCACAATACTTCTTGATTTAAACAATTAAGAACAGATTGATTTGACCACTATGTTAAAATGATGAACTTACCATGGTTATTAAATATACATATTCAATAAAGTGATAATATACTCATACAATATATATCGAAATCATCATTCGGCACAATACCAAAACATACTAATATCAATCATTAACTAATTGGTTCTTGATGCTTTTTTTAAATTACTCAATTAATAATGTAAGTAGTACGTATGTATGTACCTTAATGAATCATATAAGATGTCATCCAGTTGGCTAGGGCTCATGCTTTGGTGGAAAATATATGTGTGAATTGATCGATTTAATCCTAATTCGCTCAGTCGGTTAGATTTGATGCTGATAACGTGTTGTGAAATAAAGGGGAAATATGAGAGTTTGAGAGAGAATTAATCTATATGTGTTTATTCCATAGAGTAGGGGATGTATATACAAATACAATGTTAGGGTTTGCTTTGAGAATGATAAAACCTAAATCTAGAATGTTTCGGAGAGTACAAGAGTATATAGACATCCACAAATATTTTAAAAAAATGCAATTTCGTTTAGTTTTGTTTTGTTTTGATCGGTAGCCTTGATTAAGGTGATGGTTTCCCCTAACTTCATCTTCCATTCTTTCAATCGAAATGCCAGAATTACAAAATTTCCACAACCCGAGAAGGAGTTCTCACGATAATAACCATTAAAATCGTCGCACATCCTTAAGCTATGATTCCTTTTTCCACCATCGTCTTGTAGTTAAAGATTATATCCTCCATTGAAGCAGCTTCTAAGGTAAGATGTTACTTTCTTTTCTCATCATCCAATTTCAATTTTAAAATCTAGGGGTCTATACGTAATTTGATTTTCTGTAGACACAATTTAGTGTTCTCCGAAACTCAATTATTGAACTCGGTTTTCTTGCCATGTAGGAAAATTATGCGTTTAATTTGATGTTTGAATCAAATTTGGTGGATGCACTTAATTGGAGCATTTTTCCCAAAAATTATAGGCCTAATCCGGTAATGGAATCAAACTTGGTTGCAAATATGTTTCAAAACCCTTTAAACTTAATGGGTTCTGACTTCAAAGTGAGTGACATTCCTGCCTGGCTTGGGGATGATAATGATGGTGGCGGTTAGGGTTTCAGTTGGCTGAACGTTATTATATAATTAACTAACTTCTAATTTGGGTTCAATTTATACCTCAAAGATATTCAAGCCTACTATCTCCTCATTTCGAGCTCAAATATTTTAAGTGTTTGTCAATTTTTGTGATTTTCGGAAATTTTAACTTTATTTAGCAATACCGAAATTAGTCTTGATTGGAATTTCGTGAATTTGGAAATGCAAATTCTTGAATCTGCACTTCATGAATGGGAAATCTAATTATCTAAGCATTCGAAGTTGCTAATATCTTGAGAAGGCAATATTGTGCACTTTAGTGTCTCTCTCCTCAATGCTCATACTCCGAGCAAAACAGCCTCGGAAGTATGTGTATCCTGACCCAATTCCAAAATTTGTAGAAAGATGTAATAATATCATGTACAAATTGTTTCTGCAATTATATTTTATCTTATGCTTTTGCTCTTATTGATTCTTTTGTTTGTTTTTTTTTTTTTTGGGATTTTGTAGGAAACCCATAAGTTCAAGATTGAATTAAAGATGATATTGTTGAAATATAAAGATACATTTGGGGATATGAACACTGTTAAGCTTTGAATTACGGGTAATTTCTTGGTTTTTATTTAAAATATATGCATTTTGAGATAACTATTATGATGTATGTGTATGTTAAATATTATTATTATGTGATTTGGGTTAGACTTTGTGATTTATATTTTTACTAAATTTATCCTTACCAACAATATTAGAATATTTACTCTATCTGGTACGTAGCTGCTTTGAATATTTCACATTAATAAAGATTTTGGAAGTTTTGCAACAGATTGATCATTCTTGTTATGATTATTATTTTTTTGATTACATGATATGTGTTGTGCACCTGTCGTATATTGTACAGTACGAATTATTGAGTTTGATCCTTGGATAAAAGGTCATGGAAAGAGGAATAACATCATGAGCTAGTTGTATTGTATATAGTCAAAAGTATGTGAAAGTTTGTAAGATAATACTGCATCTGGAGTGTGGACATAGCTTGCTCTTACAATGAGTCATGAATTAAGTAATTCATTAGATGGGAGCGTGGCTTTGAGAGGGTCAAAAAAACATTGTTGACCTTCTTTGTTCTTGTAATGTATAATAAAGTCCCAGCTACTACAAATGGTTGTTTTTGTTTTCATGGCTAGTTTCCTTGTTGACCTCTATTGTTTCATATAATCAATCAGTTGCCACTCTTGTATTGATTTGCTAAAGTTTCATAATTATGCTAAGTTCAATAGGGTAGAGATAAGCTGCTATTATTACAAATAATTCTGTATTAATGCTCTCAGATCATAATTTTAGGAAATTTTCCCACCAATAATCCTATCTTTCCCTCATTCTCCCAAAATAATCCAACCTTTCGATTAACCTTGAATAATCCTATGTTTACCTATTATTCTCCCCTAGGAACCCTAACAGGTCACCTTACCCTTTATAACCGGTTACCATCCACGTAGCACTTTTTAATTGGTCAATTTTTTTTTAATTAAAAAAAATAAAATATAATTCAATTTAAAAAAACAAAAAATCTTTCTCCTTTCCCCTTCCTACCCGTGTCTCTCTCCTCTCCTTTCCTCCATTATCACCACCTAAACCACTCACCACCATCTACGGACTACGTACCGCCACCTACAACCACCTCAAAACCACCAACATCACCACTCTACAGAACATCCATCCACTACCAAGTACAAACCCACAATTTAACCTCAAACGACGCCCACAACATCAACGACCACCCACAACATCAACAATGTACGAACAACCCAATTTAGCCCCAAATTAAATTGAGAAAGAGAGAGAATAGAAGGACAATGGTGCGGGTTGGGGTTTTGGTTTCTGGGTAGGTGGAGTTGGACAGGGTTTAATGGTTTTGGGTTAGGGTTTCGGGTTTTTGGTGGGATAGGGTTGGTGGTTCGAGTATGGGTATGAATTGACGAAAGGTTTCGGGTCAGGATTTGGCTGTTGTGGGGTAAGTGGTAGCGGAGGTTGTGGTGGCAGAGTTGCAGGCTAATCGCAAAGAGGCTTGTAGGAGCTACATGGAGGCGGGGAAAGGGAGTGGTGTGTCACTGGTGGCCAGTGGTGGGAGCAACGGCAAACCAGGGAGGGTGAGGGAGTGGTTGGGGGGAGGTTGTTGGGTGGTGGTGGTGTTTAAAGGATGGTGGGTTAGGGCTCTCATGATGGTTCAATCCATCCTCTATTGATGTCAGGTCTTGGAACTAAGGAGGAAAGAATAGGAGGAAAAAAACTCGAATGTTGACTTATTCAGCCGGTTGTAGGTAAAATAGGTTTGCTAGAAGAGAATAATAGGTAAATTTAGGATTATTCAGGGTTAATCTAAAGGTTTAATTATTTTGGGAGAACCAGCGAAAGGTTGGATTATTCTTGTGAAAATTTCCATAATTTTATCCTTGTCTAGAACTTGTAATACAGTTTACATTGTCATTAATTTCATTTTGTTCTATATTTTTATTGATATGTGTTTGTCCCTGATGGTTTGAATTGATTTGCTTGATAACAATGTGGTTTCCATCTAATGGTTTGTTGCTCTTGGAGTTAGTATGATCATTGACATTATTCAGATAAAGGAAATATACAAAGGAACTTAATTGTTCACTTTCTCAGTTAAGGGACTTGTACAAAGGAATTTAATTGTTCACTTTCTCATACATTTTTCACTATAATATCATCTTATGGTGGAATTAGTTTTTTAAAGGGTAAAGAGTAATGCCTTATTATTACCAAATGCCTCACCTTCCTCCTTTTTTTTTTCTTTCTCATTAAGTTTTTTTTTTTAAAAAAATAATTTAATTTTACATTTTGAATTGCTCTCAAATTTTTCAGCTGACAAGTTGCTGACTAACATGGTTCAGTTTTGATGTGTTACATGGCTCAAAATAATGTCCTAATCGCTATTGCAAATATTATTTTTGTTTGTGTGGCTATGTTATTAGGTGTATGTGTGGTTGTAATTGCTTGTGGCTCTATTGCACACTGTTGTTGATGCTATTGCTGCACGATGCTGCTGTTGCAACACGATGCTGCTACAGCATGATGTTGTGGCTATGCTCTTATGCTAGTGCTGCTTTGCTCCTGCTAATGTCTAGTCTTGATGCTGATACTGCTATGCTCTTGTTGTTGCAGTTATGCTTCCATCGTAATTTTAATTAATTTATTTATTTTTAATGAAAGTATAAAACATTACAGGCATTTGTAAATGAAATGATCTAAGTTTGTTATATATATTCTTTGTGTATCTATTTAAAGGCAAAAATGCATCGGTTCAGAGGAAAAAACAGTCCCTTTATTGAAAAGGGGCACTGATTTTGAACCGGTGCCTTTGTATTTTGTTTACACCAATTCAAAACAGTTCCTAATTTCTTTATTTTTGTAGTGTTATCAGTCACAGTAATTCTACTAGCAACAGAGTTTATTAGCCAATGTAGTATTTGCTGCAAATATACTTATTAGCCACAGTAATATTATTGGCAATAGTGTACATTAGCCACGGTAGACTTTATGGCTAATAATTTGTTAGTCACGTGAATATTCGTGGCAAGTGAATTTATTTGTCACGTGAATATCCGTTGCATAAAAAATTAAATTTTCAACGACATCCATTTTTCCGTGGCGAATTCCTAGCCACAACCTCTTGTGCCACGGAGTTAATTTCAAAATTCCAGTGGCTAAATTATATAGCCACGAGAATTTTAATCTTGTGCCACGATTTTACATGTGGCACAAGGATAAATTTGTTGTAATGTAAGATAATCATAAACATAAGCAAAGTCCTATAGTCTAAAATATAGATTCGGGTACACTAAGAGGTAATTTGCTTGAGCGCAATGAATAAGCAAAAAAGCTCTGACTTGGAGTAAAGCGCATTGCAACATAAACAACGTAGCACGATGCACCCGAACGCAGAACGATACACCTTGGCGCAACACGATACTCCTTAACGCGGCACGAGGCACTCTGTCGCGGCGCGACAGACCTATCGTTGCGCGAACGAACATTTGATGTTGTAGTTTAGGAAAGCATGATGAGTGATTAATTATTTGGCACTTTATAATATATGATATTATTTATTGCTATATATGGACTAGTATGGCCCATAGATTCTAAATACGATCTGCGCATCGTTTTGTATTTTTGTAATCTAAATCGGTATGCGTATCGTTAAGTATTTTTGTAATCTATTTTATTTTATTTAAGTAGTAGATAGAATAGAATATTATTACAGGTTGCAGTTAATCCAAGAAGCCAATGGAATGGAGGCCTAAAGGAACAAAATGGATGAGATCTATGAAGATTCAGTGGGAGCCTTTTCTGCTTTATTAGTTTTCTTAGGATTAAGGGGCTATAATATGTCATGTTTTATTTATGCATGTTTTATTTATTAACTAACATTAGTAAATTATACATGTTAGCTTTAATTTATGTTGATTGACGATGCGCTAGAGTTCACTAAATAATCACAACATAATAAATCTAGGTCCTAGTAATATTGAGGTTGCTTTTCTAATTGGATACCCAACAATCCTTAGATAGTGAGTGATAGGTCGGCCTCCGCAGAGGTTCACTTGTTATTTTAGGCATTGTGGGGTAGATAGTGCTCTTCATATTTAATTGGTTATACTCAACAAGATTACCTAAAGCGTTTAGAACCTTGAAGCTAAGGGTAATAATTAAACATGTGATAGGTAATTTATTCAACAAAGAATTACAAGAGTTGTAATCAGTAAAGAGTTTACTCACCTTGAAAATGTAATGCTTGATGGTAGGGCCTTAGCCCGGTCAACTATTACACAAATAAAGGGTATTGGAATCATTTTTTTCAATAAGGATCAATTAAAATTGAATAAAAGTTACCAAACTTATATCGCTCATGATACTTTAAATTTATTACACATAATTATTGAACTTTAAATCCTAGGGTAGTCAGTCGATGATTACTTTGCGCATGACACTATCTTGTTCTCGCTCCATGATGGATTTGATATAGTCAATCTTATTCATGATGATGAAGGCTCGACAGTGACATTAGTCAACCTTTTGGTCAATCACTCAGAGGAGAACTTGAAGGAGGGAAGCCAATGCTTCTATTGCGGTAGGTAGTGTTGCCACACGCTTGGGTGTCCCCATTATACATCATTGAGAATGGAAGGTAAAGAGTTACCTAATGTTTTTTGTTGTAGAAATTAATCTTACTTCTTCTTCAACTTGGGTATTTGATATATCGGTTGTGGTGCTCACATTATTAATAACATGCAGGGCATAGAAGAGAGTTGGAAGTTAGCAAAAGGGGAAGTCACACTTTTTGTAGGAAAAGGAGCAAAAGTTGTTGCACTTGCTATTCGAAATTATCATTTGAGACTTCCATCTGGTCTTGTTTTGGTGCTTACTAACTGTTATTATGTTCCAACAATTACCAAAAACATTGTTTCAGTTTCAGTTTTGGGTACTGAAGGTTTTTTTTTTTTGAAATAAGAGACAAATGTTGTTTTATTTCCAAAGAAAATATATTATATGCTAAAGCGAAATTGTTTAATGGCTTATATGTCTTAGATTATACTAATCATGTCAACAACATAGACCAAAAAAAGCAAAGAACAAATGGTTCAAACCCAACATACCTATTAGGGAATATTTCAAGCATCCTACACTTGAGCTCCACTAATGTGATCATACACTTGACATTGGTGGCATCGAAAGGGATGGAAGCTAGAGTAAAAGAGTAGCTAACAAGTTTTAGGAACTTGTAAACCGTTCACTGGGTAAAGGTTAGACCCTTTCACGATCCATGACATTGCTAACTCCATTGTGGTCTAGAACCATGACTGGATATTTGGGGATGAAGGTACAAATCAAACCTAAAAGAGATTGAACTTGCCCTAAAAATAGGTCTCCACTTTATTCTTCTCATATTCATGTGTGCTTTCTGTAGGCGTCATTCGATGTGCGCCTACATTAAAGCATGTGTTGAATATGCTTGGCACTCATAGGAAGTGGGAATTGACATAATACGATTAGGGACAAGGAAAGTAGGGAGCCGCGAACAAGTTTTTAAGGAACTTGTAAACCGTTCAAGGATCATAAAAAGGCAACCACGATAAGGGACAACGATAGGCAACAACGATTGACCCGTGAAGGTTACACCCTATTCATAATCCATGAGATTACTAACTCCATATGGTTCGGAACCACCAAAGGAGGATCGGAGATGATGGTATGAAGTGAGTCATGGAGTCACATTCGCCCGTATTGACCTCTACTTGATTCTTATAGTGAAAAGTGATTCCTGCGATCTCAAAGGCATACAAACAAAAATTCAATTTACTCCAATCTATTATTAAGCTAACTTGGTTGAATATTTAATGCAACACATAATTCTAAAATTTGTGATCACTTTAATTGATAACAAGATTAAAAAGGAACCTAAACCGGTTGTCCAAATTTTCTTATTAGGCGTGATTTTCAATTACATATTCCCTTTAACATGCAATATGCTGATCAATAAATAATAGAATCAACATTAATATTGGAAGCAATTCAACAATATTAGCATTAGTCAAATCAAATATAAATAACCTAATCATGATACTAGCAATATTAAAATAAAAATAAGAGTAATTAAGTGATTAATTACTCACTTTCCGCGCTTCCTTGAATTGCTACATCATGAATAAACTGTTAGTAACTTCAATTAAAATATAAATCAAATGGAAACAATTAAATTAAATAAAAATTAGAGTTGATTTAGTCCAAACCCTCAGTCAATTATACCTTTCACGCCTTGGTTTAAGTATAGAAATTTGGGTATTATATGGACTCCTTGGAGTGCTTAGGGGAAGGAATGAAAGAATAGGGAGGCTAGTGTTTAGGCTAAACAGGGAGAAGAGAATTATTTTGATGATCAAGCTTGTTGATGATTGAAAAAGGGGATATATGACCTCTATTTATAGAGAAAAAAGAAGGGTTAAAAAAACAAGATAAGATCCGAATTAAATTAGAATAAAACTCGATAGACTACAGTTTTTGCGGTTTTTGTTTTTATCATATCTTTTGATCCAGAAATTGGAATTTGTTAAATAAGATATCGTTGGAAAGATCTTGAAGTCTAATTTCTAACCCAATTAGAATCAGATTAAAATATGTTTTTAGAATAAACGATATGGCCGAAATAGTGAGATGGTGTCAATTTTGGATGATAGAGTTTGACATTTTATTCAGATCTTTTCCGTTATAGCTCGGAATTGATATTATAATATATCATTGGAAAGATATTTTCAATGGCTATCCAACCATATAAAATTTGGATAAAAAATATGAGGCACGAAAATAATATCTGTCTATCTTTGGACGTCTTTCGATTTTAATAAAATTAGGACTTTCAAAAAAGGAGTTTTATTCAATTTCAAACTATTTAATCTTATTTTTTCAAAAAGGATAATTAAGATCTTTTAGAAACTTATAGAAGCTTCTAATTAATACTAATTTGTTTAGGAATGGGATTAAAGCTTTTGGACCCTCCACATGTGAAAGGAATGGTGTCCTTCGAACAAGTGTATTATTCTGATGGCGGGTTCAGAATTATTAGAAAGATAATATATTCGGTAAGGTCAAGTGATCGGAATGCCTGGGTGGAGGCCGCTTCCGATCAGTAATATTAATATAATTAATATTACAGCTTAATCTTGACTGAACCCTTCGGGTCACACCCAAGCAAAATATACGAACTGACTCGACGAATTAATTCGGAAGAAATTAATTCGTCGCCCGAGTGATAAATATTTACACGTCGGAAATTCGAGCTTAGAGTGTCAAAATCGAGCGTCGAAAGTCAAGTCAACAATAATAAAAAGACGAGACGAAAAATTAGTAATAAATCAACAATGACCAAAATACCCCTAGCATCGGAATCCCGAGTGCTAGGGGGTTAGCCGAGCTAGAAGCCCGCACCATGTGCGAGAAATGCTAGCAAGGCGTGGCTAGCAGCCCGCACCATGTGCGAGGCATGCTAGCACAGCACGACCAGCATCCCGCAAGCAGTGCGTGGCGTGCTGGCGTGCGCTGCTGCTAGCAGCCCGCACATGTGTGTGGCTAGCTAGCAGCGCCCTCGGCATCAGCAGCCCGCACTGATGTGCGTGGGCGTGCTGGGCCGAGCTGGCAGCAGCTAGCAGCCCGGACGGTGCGAGGCTAACTGGGCCGTGGGCCTAGGTCGGGTAGAAAGGGGAAGCTAGTAAGTATGCTTGCTTTTTGGTGTGGACAAGTGTCACAAGGAGAGGAAGGAGTGGGGAGCAAGTATGGTCCCCTCCTCTCCATGTGGTCCATACTCCTCTTTACATATGACTAGGACACTTGTTGATTTATTACTTGCTTTTA